ACACACACACACACGGTACCTGGAATAGCCCGACATTTAGAAAGCATTGGAAAGGATGTTAGTTTACCTGGGGGCCAATATTAGAAGGCTGCCCTGCTGCAATAAAAGGAACTTATGATTGTGCTTCCAATCAGCACTGATGCTAGATGGGAGCACAGTGAGAGCGGTGCTTCTCAGAGATGTTGTTGTTTGTTTCTCAGGGCTAACAATCAGGTAATGTGGTGCTGCGGGTCTCAGCAATGGCTTCACTGTCACGAGTTTTCTTTCTTTAATTTGAATTTTCAGTTACTACTGTGTTATAGCGTTCCTTTGGGAATCAAGGGCTAGGGGTGCCACTGAAGCAGACTGCAGTAGTACTTGCTGGGGATTAACAACTCGAAATCAATTCAAATAAGGGACCAAAATTGCAAGACAGCAAGATGGCTCAGCATGTCAAGGCACTGGCTGTGCAAGCATGACAACCTGAGCTTGATCCCAAAACCTGAGGGAAGAGGGTGCTCCTTCTCTATGTGTACAAGGAGCACCCACCTACACAATAAATGAACAGAGACCAAATAAGGAGTATACTTTACAATTCCATTCCTCCTGACTAAAACAAACACGATTAACATAACTGCTTTACAACATTCCAAAACTCAAGATGCTGCTGATGAAATGCCCAGAAAGAACAGACTGGGCCACTACACTCTTCCTCTGCTTGCAAGGGCAACGTATCATGTGACCGCGCACAGCAGGGCCACTCCTGCTGCTTGTACACATCCTACAAATTCTGCCTTGAGATGCAGTCTTTCCTCAGCGCCGATTTTAGGGACAAGTGCTCAGTGAGTTTTGTCCTATTTGTGAATGAAAAGCCATAACAAGAGTTTTGGGTTGTTTTTTTTTGTTTTTGTTTTTGTTTTTGTTTTTTAATTTAGGTTGTTATTCTGTAGGCCAATTCACAGAATCAAAAGCAGCAATGCCCTGGTCATGAAGCTGCTAGGATGCTTGGCTGGGTCAGTATGTACTTGTAGAAGACAAGTGACCCAAGTCTCAATACAAGCATCATCTATTACAGTTTTGCTTAAGTATTTCTCAAAAACAAAGCAAAACCTCTCACTGGTGTTTACCTAGCATGGCTCCTGAAGCTTATCACCAGACACCACCTTGACTGGCACGAGGGGTCCTAGAAGACGGAAGATAAAGAAGGTATGAGCAGAGTCCAAGTGGGTTTAATTAAGAAGCAGAGCTAGGTGTGGTGGTGCAGCCTTTAATCCCATCTCTTAGAAGACACAGGTGAATCTCTGTGAGTTCAAGGCCAGCCTGCTCTACACAGCTAAAACCTGTCTCAAAAAATAAAAATAAAAAAGACAAAACAACCCCAAAGCCTTGAAAAGTCTTGATCAGTAGAAAAGAAAAATATCCAGAAGTTTCACTGTTTGGATGCTGGTTTGCTTCTTAGCCCACTGGTTGTGTCTATCGGGCTCCTGGTGTGTTGGTTTTTTGGTTTTTTATTTTTATTTTTTTAATGTCAGCAATCTTCCAAGGATTTCTGGTTCTTACTTGTGAGTACCATGACAATCAAATGACTCTGTGTAGCAAAAGATACTCACATGTAACTGTTGTGTGAATGACTCATGAGCCAAACTGTACGAGTATATAGCAGTGCTGGTGAGTAACCAACAGCCTTCACATCTAGGAACTGAACCAGGGCCAGAAAGCCATCTGGACAGCAAGCAGCAACAAGAAAAAGTTTTAAATAGCTTTAGCTGTAGGAAAAGCACTACTACAGGCTCTAGGCCTTTTAACTATTTGTCTGCTCTCATTTTGAAAATGAGCAATAATACATACAATTTAAAAAAAGGGCACGCTACCAACACTGGCTTTTCCCCACAGACATTTCAGGACTTACTATTCCTTTCTACAATGGCTTAACTTTGGTTTGCACTTACGTATCTGTTTTGACTTTTTTCCTTGGTGACAGTTTTCCTCTTAAGATATCTGACTATGAATGAAAATGAGTGCGTCTCTGAGGAGCTTCCAATTCTCCCTTATGATTGACAGCAAAGAGGGTATAGGGAACTAAGAATAAAAAAGGGATCTGTCACTGGAGTCTTCTTGCACTGTCTTTTCTCTCTAGAGAACACAATGAGTCAGGAAAGGCAATCAGACGGTGTCATTTAATGCAAGGCGCTGAGCAAAGGAGACAGGCTAGCCATACAGCTCAAAGGCAGAATGCCTACCTAGCAAGCCAAGGTCCTGAGTTCAATTAGTACTTACTAAATATTCACTTTGTTAAAGGCACACCACACATGACAGAGGCAAGATAGGACTTATAAAATAAAACACTGGAACTGGAGAAATGGCTCAGCAGTTAAGAGCACTGGGTTTGATTTCTAGCACCCACACAGCGGCTCACAATCGTCTGTTACTCCACTCCAGGGACACCAACGCCCTCTTCAGGCCTCTGCAAGCACTGTACTCATATGGTACACAGACATTCATGAAGGCACCCATACATAGAGAAATAAAGCACCAAGTAGTTGGCATCTCGCCAAGTACTGGAGCACTTATGTCTGCCGAGTGGTTAAGTGGGAGTCACATCTGCTCTGCCTCACCCAGATGGTGCTCCTTTTTATATGAGAAGGTAGATAAAGCTTCAACGGCATCGCAGCGATTTCCACCTCAGCCTGTAAGAGCCTTAGCCACAAGTGATGAGGATGGCTTAGAGGAAAGAGGATGACAGAGGATCTGCTTGAACCTCCCAAGGAGCTGGAATGGTAAGGTGAGTGGAAGGGCCATGCAGAGCAAAATGACAGGTCAGTGGAGGTGCTGTCCTATGAAGGAATCCAAGCAATTTTCACCAGACCTAGTGTATGCGTGTCTGTGTGTTTGTGTCTGTGCACATGTTTAATCCCAGCATCCCAGAGACAGAGGCAGGCAGGGGGCCAGCCTTGACATCCCAGTGAATTCCAGACAAGCCGGGCTATATAGTGAAACCTTGTGTGCTTATATGTGTGTGTGTGTGTGTGTGTGTGTGTGCGCGCACACATACTACACACACACACACACACACACAGAGAACAGTCATACTTTCTGATGAACAGACTATTTAAACAAGTTCTTAATTTAATAGTTTAGAACCAGCTAACATCGGACTAATGTCTGCCAACTTGAAAAATGCATAATCTCAGAATTATTTCATGCAATACCTTCCATTTGCTACAAGATCATAATCAAGTTTTGTTTCTGCATTTTGGTTTTATAGCTGGTTTTGCAGATGGTGTCTTAGCCTCCTAAGTACTGTGATTACAGAATGGCAGCCATGCCTGGCACCATAAGGAAGCCTGCATCCAGGATCTGGGGCAGTCTAGTGAACTCCGAAAGCCTGACTGTGATAACAGAGTTAGTAAAAGTCACCTGTTACAGCCTGAATGTCTACAACACAGAACATGGGTACCCTGTTACAGAGTTAATTTCTACAGCATGGGATATGGGTGGAGACGTCAGGAAACACTTCACTGTCATTACTAAGGAAAAACTTGCTTGCTACAAATCTTGAGAGCATGCATTCTTAAATATATTTTTCCTTAATTTTTAAATTATATTTATTTTGTGTGAACATATAGGAAGGGGACAAACATGCATATTGCATCATATGTGTGAACATCAGAGGTCAACCTGTGACAGTTGATTTTCTCCTTCTACCATGTTGGTCCCAGGAATCAAACTCATGTTATCAGGCTTGCTGACAAGTACCTTCACCACTGATCCACCTTGCCAGCGTTGGAGTACGGATTCTTTACCTTAAACATTTAAAACTGGGCCTGTAGTGGTGCACACCTTTAGACCAAGCACTCAGGAGGTAGAGACAGGCAGATCTCAAAATCAGAGGTAAGCCTGAGGGGCAGAGGGTATGGGACACCACACAGTACTGAGACTGAGGTCTAAGAAATAAGATCACCAATGTCACCGTGACAGACTTGGAATTGTGCTGGGACACCAGGTAAGCCATAAACTCCAGATTCCTGTGCAGTTACAAGTGGCTGTATACAAAGGTCTCTCGGCTGGAATGAGTGGGAATGACTGTGCCAACCTCACGTCAGGTATTTGCAAGATGATGATGTACAACCTGTATCATCTCATTCTCCTCACAACGGTGACAAACAACAGTCGTGCGGTGAAAAAAGAGATGACACCATAGCAACTGCTTCTTGAATGAAAGCACAGGTGGAGTTTGCTGCATTATTTCTTTTCAATCTATTACAGCTGATTTCCACTAATTTAGCCAAGCACACATAGTTGCAAGGCTAGGATTAAAACTCACAATCGTTAGTTACAGGTAGTCTCAAACATTTTCCTTCACTATACAAACAGGAAACAGAATTATAAAGAGTGAAGAGACTGCCACCATGACACCAGCACAGCCCTCACTTCTACTCAGACTCTAGCTTTCCTCTCAGTTACTTTGCGAGCTGCATGTAGAGCACCCTTCCCAACTGAAATGGGGAATTACTGTTTTTGTAAACAGCTGCAGAGGAGCAATGAATATGAATCTGACTTAAGGCAGACATGAGGTTAGGCAAAGAGAGAAAGGATAACAGAAGCCTTAAGTGGAAAAAAAAAGGCAAGACCATTAAGACTGGAACTCAGGGAGCCAGAGAACTGGCAAAGGATGACAGCAAGAGGCTGAGTCCATATGGTGTTCCTCTTAATGTAACTGAAAAGAAGACCCAATGAAGAATATTCAAGACATGAGTACAAAATGATTAAACGAAGCATGTTTTAGGGGTAGGGATATACCTTAACCAAAACTCTAAATTCAAATGGTCATGAGCCAAAGCCAATTTATACTACTGATAAGCTACAATATGAAAAGGAATCTATAAGAAATATGACTCCAACATAAAAAGCAAAATAACCAGAAATTTACCAAACTCAAAAGCATACAGGTGAAAATGATGAATATCATCATTCACCAAGGAAATGGAGATTAAAGCCACAATCAAGCCAGCGGTGCTCACCTTCAAGTCCAGCACGGGAAGCAGGGGCAGGTGGGTCTGGATGAGCCAAAGCTACAGTGTCACTGTCTCAAAATAAAAACAAAAACGAAATAAAACCCACTGATATTCACACATCACTGTTCAGAGCTGAACTCAACCTTTTCTAAACAAGACATCAAAAACTCCATACTGTTCTTTATTCTTATCCAAGAATATCAGAAGTACATCAACATTTAAGCTACACCTTTTCATAATAACCTAAAGAGGTCTCAACTCAAACACATTAACAGAATAAGAAATCGTACTGAGCATTTTACAATATGGAAAAATAACTAAATACAATACACCATCATTAAAGACCCTCACAAACACTGTTAACAGAAACAAAAAGGGCCAGGCATGGTAGCTCACATCTGTATCCACAGTGCTCAGCCTGCGGAGACAGAAGAATTGCTACTTAGTTTCAGGCCAATGAGACACTGTCTCAATTTTAAAATGAAGGATGGTCAGGAGAAGAAAATGGCAAAAGAACACATGCCATGAGATTCAATTTACTTAACTATAAATAACGGTTAAAATGTCAATGGAGATAGGCATGGAAGCTCACTTATGAGGCTGAGAGGGGAAGATCACTGCTCCTTCCAGGCCAACCTGGTTACAAAGCAGGACCCTGTCTCAAAAACACAAAATAAAAACCACTGGGAATGATGACATGCACCTTTTGTTTTGTTTTATTTTTTGAGACAGAGTTTCTCTGTGTACCCTTGGCTGTCCTGGACTTGCTATGTAGACCAGGCTGTACTCAAACTCACAGAGATCCACCTGCCTCTGCCTCCCGGAGGGCTGGGACAGTCATCTTTAATCCAAGTACTAAAGAGGCAGAGCAGGTAGATCTCTGTGAGTATGAGGCCAGCGTAGCCTACAGCCAGCTAGGGCTACACAGTGAGACTGTCTCAAAAAGAATGAAAAAAGGAAGGGAGGGAGGGAGGGAGGGAGGGAGGGAGGGAGGGAGGGAGGGAGGACGAACTTTAGAGATGTACACAGTATCATCAAGATATAAAAACAAACAGGCAATTAAACAAAATTCAGTAAAATGTCTCTTGCAAAAGAGAGGAAGCAGAGGAAAGCACTAATATTTGCTATGGCGTGGTCTGGTGTTTTGTACTTAGATGTTAATTGTTTGCCCCCCCAACAGATCCTTCTGTCTTCCAAGCCCTCGAACCTTCACACACACACACACACACACACACACACACACACACACACACACATACACGCCTACCTCACTTCTCCCTGCTCAGGTCTACACAACTTTATTTAACCAATCACAGGTAATTTGGAGACAAGGTTACACAGCATCATTTTGGTGTACGTGAGGGACTGCTTATTGAACAGTAAGAATCCTAGGGTGGAGGGGGCAATTAACATCTGAATACAAAGCACCAGACCATCCCATAACATCTCCCCAAGAAAAGGGTCAAGGAGCCAATAGGAGAGGGCCAAGAGGCCAAAGAGAATGTGTGGCCACAATATCTGGATTATATAGAAATCTGACAGAAGCTGGGGAAGGTGTAATGGGGCCCCAGACCTTAACACAACTGACTCCATTATGGAAGTACCATTCAGGCTGTAAAACTCAGCACATAGACAATACCACCTGCCAAAATGGAAACAAAGGTCTAATCCATCAAAACCCATATAATTCTGGGAGGATCATGGAGAGGAAGAAGAGAGACAGGTACAAGAGAGAAGAAAGAAGTGGAGACCACTATGGGTTAGCATATAGACCCACATGGGGCAGGAGAGATGGCTCAGAGGTTAGGAGCACTGGCTAGCTGTTCTTCCAAAGGTCCTAAGTTCAATTCCCAGCAACCACATGGTGGCTCATAACCATCTATAATGAGAGCTGCTGCCTCCTTCTGGCCTGCAGGCATACATGCAGATAGAACACTGTATACATAATAAATAAATAAATCTTAAGAAGAGGAGGAGGAGGAAAAAACACATGGATGGGAGGAGTTTACTCTGAGGACTGGTGTGGCTGGGCAAATGCCATGGGATGTAGGACTGAGAGAAAAACGAGGTAGATCAGGATCTTAATATCTGCCCAGCCCCAGGTAAAATAAAGTTTATTAAAAATCAATCAGGTGTCTTTGTCTTTTACTGATATGGTCGCAGTTGAATAATAATCACCAAAAAAAATTTTATGTATTAATAATAAACATTAATAGCCAAATATTTTCTACAACAAACACTGCCCAGGGTATCACATACATGTCTTTTTTCTTGTGTGATGTGCATGTGTGTGTGTTTGGATCTGAAAGCATGTAGGTGCTCAGGTGTGTATGTGGTCTTCCTCCATGCTCGTCCATCATATTCATTGAGGCAGGGTCTCTCCAGTTGAACCTGAGCTCACAGGTATGGCTAGTCTAGCTAGCCAGCATACTCAGGGGACCCCATCTCTATCTTCCAACTAGAATTACCATCAGCCTGATAGGTCCACCCAGCATTTACTGGGAGTCTGGGATTCTAGGGTCCAGTTTGCTGTTTGCATAGCAAGAATTTTAATTGCTGAGCCACCGCCCCTTTTATACATGCAGGTTTCCACAGTGACAGCAAATTACAAGGCATGACATGAAAGCCGTGGAATGGAAACACGTTCCCTAGTGTGGTCTCCACGTTGGTGCTGGCAAAGCCACAGTGCAGACTGCTCTGCTCCCTGCAACTGCACTCTCCTGCACTGTTCTCACCTACATTCGCTTCTACTTGCTGGTTAGAACTGGTACTTTTTTCCTCCAAACTTTAAGACAGAAGACACATTACGGACGATAGCAAGGCTTTGTATCCTGTTAGCTGCTGCTCAGAACACCATTAATGATACCTGAGCTCCTACAAGGCTCTGAGTTCAATTCCCAATAACACCACATACATCCAAAGTCTGGACTATGGAGCATTTCGGGTTAGGAAAGTCAATCTGTACTATCCATTTTATAAAATTACACTTAGAATATATCCTACCTATTATGGATAAAACCACACACTTCCAGAGCTGGAAAGATGGCTCCTTGGGTAAAAGCTCTTCCTGCGTAATCATGAGGACTGGAGCTGGGATCTCAGCACCCACACAACAAGCCAGTCATTACTGCGTACCAGTGCCCCAGCTTGATGCAGACAGAGGCAAGAGGACGGCCAGGCTTGCTGGCTTCTCGCCTCGCTGTGAAAGTAGGATCCCAGGCTCAGGAAGAGACTATGCTTCAAAGAAACAGGTAGAGAATGGTAAGAAGAGATCCAAAGTCTTCTTCTGGCCGGCATGTGTGCAGACAGGCTTACAGACTACCATACACGTGTGTTCAGCCACATAGTTGAACACAGACACACACATAATCTTTAAAAAAACAAAACCCTTTGGGGCTAGAGAGATGGCTCAACAATTAAGTGCACTTGTTCTTACAGAGGACCCAGGCTCGATTCTCAGCACCTACATGGCAGCTGACAACAGTCCGTAACTCCAGCACCACTTTTTGACCTCTGAAGGCACCAGGCATGCTTGTGGCAAACAGACATACGTGGGCGCGAAATACTTGCACATGGGAAATAAAATAAATCTAAAACAAACAAACCTGGGCTGGTGAGATGATTCAGCAGGCAAAGGTGCTTGCAGCAGCAGGTAAAAACAAGCAGAGCTTTATTTCTGAAATCCACATAGAGGTAGGAGGAGGGGGCCAACTGGACAAAGCTGTCCTCTGAACACGTGAGTACTGTGGCACGTACACCACCACCACCACACACACACACACACACACACACACATTCACTAATAATAACAATAAATTTTAAGAATGTCCTAACCTAACCTTTCACATAAAGCTGTATGTGTGTAGTAGCATGATTATTCAATAACCTCTTCCACTAGAAAACTGGACTGAGAACAAGGCGACCATTTATACTGCCCTTTATCTACTACTTCCTCTATCGTGTGGCTGTCAAAAGACTAAATGAGATTCTGGCAACATAAAAAAAACAGTTTTGAAAGGTCATGCTATGCAGGCAGTCACAGCTTTCACAGTATCCTTACTGTCTATGGCAGACTACATGACAATCTGACCAGTTATGTACTGAGTAAAAGCAAGACGCACATTGCCACTGGACTGCCAAAGGACCAGCGCTGCAGACACTCAATGACATCCTTATGAACGTCATTTCCACCTGCATAGAGATCCAGTGCAAGTTAATGAAAAGGATCCTTGAGCAGTAAACAGACCTGGAGATACGACACCAGCTCCCGGAACTGACAGGCAAGCTGAAACTGAGCCACTCTGTTCACTCTGAGTTTATAAACATAATAACCATTTACAACTTTCAAATTTAGACAGATCAGTGCCAGGCTTGGTTGTACCTGCCTATAATCACAGCACTTCAGAGGGGAAAGACAGGAGGTTCCTGTCTCAAAAACTTCAAATTGTGGTGGTGCGTGTTCCTAATCCCAACACCTACAAGGCTTTAGAAGCAGACCAGGAGTTCAAAGTCAGCCTCAGATACAGAGGACTTAGAGACCCAACTATGCTACATGAGACCCTGCCTCAAAAAACAAAACCACAAAAAGAAAGCCAAAACAAATTTTCCAAAGAAAAGCATATAGCTGCATTAAGGGGGAGGTGTACATAGCAACAGAGCTTGTGCTTAGCGTGTGTGAGATGCTGGATTAAACCTGTAGCACCTACAAAATAACATCAGCCCTGCTCAGGTGGTGCACGTCTCACTGAAGCACTCTGGAAGCTGAGGCAGGAAGATAGGCCTGAGCTGAGGCCAGGCTGGGCTGCAGAATAAGTCTGTATTTCAAATGAATAACCCCATATCGATCATTCTTTTTAAATAGCATATGAAGTAACAAGTTTTCTTATGGCATATTCACACATACATATTAAGTTTGTATTGGTACCCTGACACCCTGCTCCAGACCCACCTGTCCCTCCCCCACCTGCCATCTTTCCACCCTGACTCTCCCTGTTCTCTTCCGCTTCTGGTATTCCCCTCTCCACTTTCTTATCATGTGTTTTATTGACTCACACTGATCATTCTTCAAAATTTCCCTAATTTGATGGCTCCAAAACCGTGCCAGCCAGGCACAAAAGATGCCCGCTTTTAATCCCAACACTCAAGAGGCAGAGACAGATTTGAGTTTGAAGCCACTCTAGTCCAAAAGCTAGTTCCAGACCACTACCACAGACAGTGACAGTGAGAGTCTGTCTCAAAAAACAAACAAACAAACAAACAAACAAACAAAAAATTGGGCTGGAGAAATGGCTAAGAAATGGTTAAGAGCACCAGCTACTCTTCCAGAGGACCCAAGTCCAATTCCCAACCCAGCGTGTACATGGCAGCTCACAACTGTCTGTCACTCCAGTTCCACAGGATCTGATGCCCTCTTCTGGCCTTCAAGCATGCAAGTTTGCATGATGTTATGCATGCAAAACATCCATACACATAAAATAAAACCAATAAACAACTGGTAGAGTTGAGGCTATGCAGTAGAGCACCTGTCCGCCTTTTAATTCCCAGTATTGTCATACTCCAAAAAAAGGGCAATGAATCAGTAAAAACTATCAAGCTTTTGGAATGTCCAAACTCGGAGGCTGAAGAAATGGTTCAGAGGTTAAGAGCACTTGCTGCTCTTCCAGAAGACCCAAGTCCAATTCCCATCCCTGACATGGGCACTCACAACCAGCTATAACTCCAGTTCCAGAGGATCTGACACCTCTGGCCTCCAAAGACACTGCACACACATGAGAGACATACATTTCAGACAAAGCACTCATACAAGTAAAATTTTAAAAAAATAAAGTGTTCAAACTCATAGGTTAATAACAGCAGTCTGGCTTGCTTTTGTTATCTAAGCTAGGAATGGCATTGTGCTTTCAGCAATGCTACCACCTAGTAACCCTTTATTTAAAACAATAATTAAAACACCTTTGTCCAGTAGTAGTATCTCCCGACTGTGATCCCAGTGCTCTGGAGACTGAAGAAGCTCAAGTTTCAGGCTAGCCTGTGCTATACAGTCAATTTCAGGGCAGCTTGGGCTACAGTTTCAAACAAACAACAGAAGAAGCAAGCACACCAACCCTTTGTATTAAGCAACCCTAAATCTCAGTCTACCTTAGAGTAAGGCTTAGGACTGTCCCCCATACAAACCATCTCAAGAGATTAGAAAAAAAATCATAAGCTAACCAATATTCATACTTTCTTCCTATATTCAACTTCATAAAAAAACAAAAACTAAGAAATAAAACCTACAAAATTGGACACTTACCTCAAAATAACAGCCCCCATTTCAGTCTTCTAGGAACGGATGACATTACGTATTTTTAAAGGTGAAGAATTCATGAAGGTCTTTTTCAGATTAAAAGATAAACTGCAAAATAAAAGGTTGAAGAGAGAAAGTGTTAATCAAGATGGACAATGCTAAATGTTTACTACTTGTATACCATTTGCCTGCCGATAGCCACACACATTTTAAAACACAAGCCGAAGATCTAACGCAGTTAAAACCTTTTACTATGTTTAAGATTTGTGCTCCACTAGTCTCAGCGTTGGGCCAATTTTTTTTTAATCTGATACCTTTTCCCTATTAGTGGGTTTATATATTCAAGATAAAATCTAACCAAGTAACTTATAGGATGTAGTGTAAAATAAAAATGCAGGACCCCTCAAGCCCGCCAGGCCTACTCAGTAAGGCCCTGTCTTGAAGAAAAAAAAAAAAAAGACAAAACTTTTTTTAATTAAAAATTCAAACCAACAACAAAATGCAAGACCCTTTCCCCAAGGTGGTTCTATAAGGAAATACGTCTAATCCCAAAGCAAACTGTAGAGGATAAGAACACACATTGAACAGAGTCCACCTGTCTGTACATTCTGGTGGCCCATTACCACTGTAGCTCCAGAGGCCTCGAAAGAGCATCACGGGAAATACAACCCTAACCACCATGCGACCACGAGTGGAGTGGAGACAACAATGACACTTATGCTCACTGCAGGTGTCAAGGCGAACGGCACCAGATCAAACAGGATGTGAGAGCTGTGGTGACACCCTGGGCCCAACCTCATGGAGGAAGGCAGCGCCGGTCAACTGGCTCCTGATTAGGAGGCTCTGGCCGCTGTCAACAAAGCCGCGATCACCACAGTCCAGCTGGCTAATCTAAATGTAAACCTCTTATCTCTGTAAGAATGTTTAGTGCTGGTGAAAGAAAATTTTATTATTACTCTTGAGTCCCAGTACCAACATCAGGCAGCCAGCTCCAGCACTGGGGAAATCAAACATCTCTGGCCTCTGCAGGGGCCTGCATTCATGTGCACATACTTACATACGAGTGAAAACACAGGAAAAAATAAAAATTGAAAAGATTTTTTTTAATAATTTATTTTTATGTGTGTACACTGGTGTTTTCACTGAATGTATGTCTGTGTGAGGATGTCAGATCCCATGGAACAGGAGTAACAGACAGTTGTGAACTGCCATGTGGGTACTGGGAATTGAACCTGGGTTCTCTGTCATAGGATCTCATGTAGCTCAGGCTGGCTCCAAATTCACTGTGTAATGTAAAATTTAAAAAAAAAAAAAACCAATCAGATTTATGCTTTATCTTTTCATTCCCCACTCCTCTCTGACTGAAGGTTGACCCGGGCACCTTACTAGGAAAATCCCGTAGCCCCTACCACCAGGCTATCGCCCCACCCCCTCCTCATTCTGTGCAACAGTAGCTCAATGCATCTCCAAGGTTAGACCTGAACTCGCTCCAGATCAAGAAGACTTTGAGCCAACAATCTTCCTGCCTCACCTCCCCAGTGGCTCCCAACCTAGGCTTCCCGGCACGCACTAAAGCAGGCTTAGCTTCCTTTCCTTCATGCACTCTCCTCCTCGGTTTTTGAAAGCAGTGCCTCCTGCACTTTTCAATGACTTTGAACTCTCCATGTAAAAACACTTCAACAAACAGGCGGCTACACACACACACACACACACACCTGTCACACACACACAAATGGTCCCCACTGTAGTGGAAGTTTTGGTTTTTTTAAAAACTCAGTCTTGTAAATATGTTTTTGTTTTAATCCTGGGTGGGGGATTTTAGTTTGGGCTTCAGTGTGTCCACAGCTGATAACTGCCTCCTGTGGGGTGTGGTCTCTGCCAGCTGGTAACCACCTGCCTGATGCGCACGGGGAGGGGTGTGGTCTAGGGCTCTGAGGGATATATAAATATGAGACTCCAGAAACAGAAGGTGCGGCAGCTTGGGGAGACACTTTGCTTCGTGGCACAGTGGCTTGGTGAAGATGGACAGAGGAAACTGCTTGCTGTATTTGCTGTAGACAGAGACTGGTATAGCCCCAAAGGAAACCATCAACCCTAAACAGCCAGGAGAAAGGGGTCTGTGCTAACTCTCCCCACTAACCTTCTCTCTCTTACCTAGGGCTAAAGGGTTGGTGGAAGGGAGGCAGAGGCTTAAATACCCCAAATAAAATAGTTTAAAAACAAATGCAACACCCGTGCCTTCTTACGTTCAATTTATCATGAGGGATGTAGCCTGCTTACTAGAATGAGCTAAAATTTACCTATTTTCAGACATAGGAAGCTGGGGATAAGATTTTAACAAAATTCTCTAGAACCCAGTGTGTGTGTATGTATGTATACATGTATGTACAAATACATACAAAAATGTTATTTTTATTTTATGTTCTTATGTCTGTCTGAGGGTGTCAGAAGTCCTGGTACTGGAGTTCCAGAGAGGTGTGAGGTGCCATGTGGGTGCTGGGAAGTGAACCAGGATCCTCTGGAAAGCAGCCAGTGATCTTAACCACTGAACCATCTCTCCAGCCCCGAGAACCCAGTTTCTTAAACCAGGGGTTATGGCTCCTCATAGAATTCTTCTGGAGATCAGAGAAAAACTGGCAACAGCAAAAGGTCTCTGAACGGGCAACCAAATAGCAACTGGAAATGATCTCATGAATCCCAGGAGTCTCTTCAGCTCGCATTCCACTGCATCAGGAGACTGCTGCAACCTTGGTTCTGAAGGCAGTAAGAGCGCTGTGCAACTGGCCAACTGTCATCATGCCACCTCAAACATCTCAGCTCCTGTCTGAGCACTGCATGCTATGAATTATAATTCTTTCACCGTACACACACGGCTTTCTGTTCTTATAAACACCATGATTTAATAGTGGAAAGCAAACACTTTTTAGTTCCTACTGTTACTCCTCAGCATGTAAGTACCAAATTAGTATATCTTCGGATTGTGTTAAAAGGTTCTACTCTGCCCCCAGGCACTGGTAGCACATGCCCTTAACCCCAGCACTGGAAAGTAAAGGAAGGTAGATCTCTGTCTGAGAGTTCCAGGACAGCCCTGTTTCAAAAATCAAACCAAAACAAAAGTTCTACTCAGGTGACTATCACCAGAATACATTGTACGCATATATAAAACTGTCAAAAAAAAGTTGATTTTTAAAATCATTTTTTTATTTGCTGACTTGGGTTTTCTAAGAAATAGCTACATAAACTAACCATGGTGGCATGTACCTTTAATTCCAGCACTCAGGGGGGCAGAGGTAGGCGGATCTCTATGAGTTTGAGGCCAGCCTGATTTACAAAGCTAGTCCAGCCAAGGTTATACAGAGAAACGCTTTATCAAAACACAAGGGGGCGGGGGAGAAGCAGGGAAGAGAGAGAGAGAAAGAAATGGCTACATAGACTTTTGGCTTGGGATTAGGACATGATTTTGAAGTTTTGAAGTGGCCTTATACATACATCTGACATCAAAAATAAATAAGTACACCCACCTGTTAGTATGAAATTGTTTTCATATTTAATACATGAGAAAGATAACTACATATCAAAGAATTATTTTTAAATAAACTTATTATTATCAATAAGTCTTTGATGTATATAATGATTCCATATGACTATATACTAGGGGTCATGTAAAAGTATCTTGGTGTTGGCAATCAAAAAAGCAAGAAGCCCAGTGTGGCAGCCACAACCATAATCCCAGTCCTCAGGAAGCTGAGGCACACTCCTGCGGTATGTTTGAGACCAGCCTAGAAGATGTAGGGAGCCCTATTTCAAAACTAAAGAGAGACAAATTTTAGGACCCAAGAAGCTTGCTTATCATATAGGTTCCATTAATATTTACTGAAGTGTAATTAAAACTAATTCTAATATTTACTTAAACTGCTAGGACACAGTGTTAAAAGCCTGCTGTCCTACCATTCAAGAGGCAGAGAAGGAAGCCAGCATAGTCTACAAAGCAAGTTCCAGGGCCACCAAGGCTCTATTTCATGGTCCTACCCAGGGCCTTGAACATGACAATCAAGAACTCTACTACTGGGTTGTACTCTCTGCCCCACTAGCCTTATTTTTAGTAATTAATATCTTAATCTTTTTAGAAAGTAGTATCATCTTAATAAGGTGCTCACATAAAATAATAAACCCAAAGTTTTACATTAAAACTTTCTGGGCAACCATGGTTCTGCACATGTGTAATCCCGCAATTCAGGATGCACAGGTAGTTAAGATCTCTGAGTTTGAGACCAGCCTACTCTACACACAGTGAATTATGGGCCAAACAGGGTCACATAGTAAGAACATCTCAAACAGCAAGAAAAAAACAAAAACAACAACAACAACAAAAAAAAAACTGTGTGTTTCTTACGATAGGACTTCATGTGACCTAGGCTGGCCTCCACTCTATGTATCTAAGGATCCTTCAGCTCTACCATACTTGGCCAAAACTTATCTTTATTTACTTATATGTAGGAATGTTTTGCCTGCATGTATGTCTATGTACCACATATGTGCCTGGTGCTGAGGTGATCAGAAGGGAATGTGGGATTCCCCCAGATCTGGAGTTACAGGCTGCTTGAGCCACCATGTGGGTGCTGGCAATCAAACCCAGTTCTTCTGGAAGAGAAGCTAATGCTCTAAACTACTGAACCATCCCTCCAGCCCCTAAAACATTTTTCAAGGAAGGGTCTCACTACTCAGCCCTGAAACTTATATTGTAAATCAGGCTTGCCTCAGCTCAGTGACACACCTAGCTCTGCCTCCTCCTGAGTGCTGGGATTAACCGTGCACAAGCACTACACCCAGTCTACTGTGTCTCTCTTCAACCCCATCGCCTCACGTCGCCTAAGTGCATCCACAACAGATGTTCCATGAAGAAGCTGATACAGGCAAATGCTCACAGGCTCACATGCTGAAAGTATATGTGGACGAAGCAGACTTTCCCACAGCCAATTCTTTAGCTAACAGAAATGTATAAAAGAAAACTCATGATAAATTGACAGCAATGCCAGCAGCAGAATAAAGAATACATTCAGACCCGGTGTGACACAGTAGATCAGACCTTCAAAGTTCTGCCCTACGGC